ATGCTATATAACGAGAGATCAAACAGTTTACATTCACGAAGAATGAGAATTTCTCGAAACTTCATCACTATTTTCATATTGTCATCAACATACGTGGTTGATCATGTGCATATTTCTCAACAATGTTGTGAATTGTTCTGTTTGACGAGCTCAGGAGCAAGAACTTCTTTCCCTTCTAATGTTGGAGGAATATATATTCGCTTTCCTCAGCTGAGCTTGGAAGTTCCCTCACTAACTGTAGAAGTGTACATCAGTGCTCAGAAAGCAAAATTTCCCTTCAGAATTCCCATATCGTCGCCAACATATGTAGTTCGCTCTGTTTCGTTCGTTTAGGTCTCTGCCAACCTGGAGGTTGGTTTGCTCACAGCGGTGCTCGTTGATGAGATCGTCGAAGTGAATAGTGACTTGTTGCTGAACTGTGGGAGTGGAAGCGTTGAGGTAGATAGTGTAGTGAATTTAGCCGAAGCCTAAGTATACTTGTAGTGAATAGGAGTAGTATACTTAGTTAGCTAGAACCTTATATGTACGCGAGCTGGCGTCACGCTAAAATTACACAGCTAACACAAAAATCGGAGACAGATAATTGTGAAACGGGGACAATCTCTACATGATGATAAAAAGGAGGTAAATGCTCTTTATGAAATAAAATTTTAAATAGTTTTCTTTAATTTTGGTTTTTTTGCCCTCACAATGTAATGAGCTCAGAACTCTAGTTGAACGTAGGAAAGCCGAATTTTACTTTCATATTGAAACTCAACGTGTTTTGAAACTTTCAACTCACGTTGAGCTCAGGGCTTTATCTAGACTCCCTTCATTGACGCACTTGCACTCAGCCCTCCTTCGTGCACTCAGTGCGTGCCATTGATAAGCGGATCAGTGATCCCTGGGCAGTCGGGCTGCCCTGATCTCAACTTGAGATTAGGAGCACCATAAGGGTTGTTTTATGAAATGAAGTTGTTCGATTTTCCGTTTGTTATCTGAATGTGAAACAATAAAGATTGTTGCCGAACGTAGAAAAGCTGAATTGTAGTTTTACCTCACTTTCGTGCTCAACAAAACGCTACTTTTAGTGATCTAGGACAGACAATTTAGTGACATCGTCTGGACGTGCTGATGATTATTTCAGAACGTCGAAGCTCTACGACGTCTTGTTCACTTTCGCTTGCAACGTATGGAGGAGGAGACCGCGGCTGGGCGCGCGCTGCATATTGGAGTTTTTCATGATGGAAAATTTGCTGGAGTTATTTCTGTTGGCACTGAGCGAACATCTAAGGGGCTGATAAAAGATATATTTTCTGTGAGGCTGGCGGACGCAATTGCTGGCCCGGGTGAGATTTTGGGAAATATGCACATGGTCAACTACGTGTGTTGGTGAGAATATGAAAATTCGGAGAAAAGTATTGTGGGATTTTGTACATTACTACTCGATTTTGCATGTGATCTTGAGCTTAGCTGAGAAAAGCGATTGCATATATTGCTACTCTAACACTGTATAGGAAACTCTTCTGAGCTCAGCTGAGGAAAGCGAACATATATTCCTACTCCAACACTGTATGGGGAACTCTTCTGAGCTCAGCTGAGGGAAGCGAACATATATTCCTACTCCAGCACTGTATAGGAAACTCTTCTGAGCTCGGCTGAGGAAAGCGAACATATATTCCTACTCCAACACTGTATAGGAAACTCTTCTGAGCTCAGCTGAGGGAAGCAAACATATATTCCTACTCCTCCCACTGTTGTCAGGAACTGCTGCTGAGTGTTTGAGGATGTGCTTGTCTCGTTGGGCGGCGCTGTTGTTCCCCAATCCTGAATTCGAAGATTTCATGACGAGAATTCGGAGATTCACCTGTAAGTAGATTCGGAAATTTCTCGAAATATTTGAAGTGATTGGCAGTATGTGTCAAGTTGATATGCGAGCGGAAAATTATGTTGCATCTTAAAAAATGAGTGAGAACTAAGACTGCGCTTATATAAGGAAAATACAGTTGCCTCTCGAACGGAGCGTATACGGTATGAAATGCTACTTCGCGTTGCGCATGCGTGCAAGACGAATAGTTTTAGAACAACTACGGTGATTCGGACGATGGGTGAATTATGAAAAGAGTTTCATGTATTCATGGATGTGCAGAAAAATACATAAAAACAGTATGCGTCGAACTCTGAGCAAAAATGGCGCGCGAGCTGTCAGCGATGGACGGGTTGCAAATCTGTACGAAATTCGCGCGATTTCCCTTTAGGGTTGACCGCTTACTTCACCTCGATAGTTCTTATCATAATTCTCGCACAGATTTTCGACCTCTGTGAAAGATACCGGTGATATGGAGAACACTAGTGAAAAAAATACTTCACGACTACTGCATATCACCGCGAATATCGCGTTCTTCACAAAAACGGGAAAAAAACGAAAACGGTTTTCACTGAATCGAGTTTTACGCCACTTCACGTAAAACGGGTGGTGAAACTCTACTGATTATTTCCAATTTTTCCCCAAAAAAATAATATATGTATTTTTTTTCTCACGGAATGTATTGATTGTTGTAGATTCTCCTGGGAATCCGAGGGCTGTTTTTGGCAACCCCGTCACTATGTCTGAACATGGACATTACGATCTACCCTCGATCGCTGCTCGAATCGGCACAATACGAAGTCGCTATAACTCAGCTTATGGCACGCCGAAATTAATAATGGCTAGCGCACCACAGGTAAGTGTGTTTGTGAAGCGAAGTCGGGAAGAATTAATTGTTATGGGAACTTCGTATGAATATTCATATAAAATTTCTTATACAGTGTTGGAGTAGGAATACATGCTCGCTTTCCTCAGCTGAGCTCAGAAGAGTTTCCTATACAGTGTTGGAGTAGGAATATATGTGATCGCTTTCCTCAGCTGAGCTCAGGAGTTTCCTATACAGTGTTGGAGTAGGAATATATGTTTGCTTTCCTCAGTTGAGCTCAGGAGTTTCCTATACAATGTTGGAGTAGGAATATATGTTCGCTTTCCTCAGCTGAGCTCAGGAGTTCCCTATACAGTGTTGGAGTAGGAATATATGCTCGCTTTCCTCAGCTGAGCTCAGAAGAGTTTCCTCACTAATTATAGAAGTTTATATATGAACTTGGTTGAAGGTGTTCAGAGTTCTCATAGTGTTGTCAACACATATAGTTGATCATGTGCATATTTGCTCGCAGTGGTGTATACAGTTACACAATTCGGATCCTCTGGACACTTCAACGCCTATGCAAGGGGAAGGTGTGGGAAATGGATTCGCATCTTGGTGGTGGCCTGTGAGGTGAGAGAATTTTGGGAAAAAGAAAAGTATTTTTTTCATGGAGAATTTTTAGTAAATAGGAAGCGTTTCAGGCTGTAACTTTGAGAAGGCTTAGATATAGTTGTGGGTGATCACACATTGAGTTTCACCACCCTAGTGATATGAAAAATATATTTCACGACTACTGCATATCACCGCGAATATCGCGTTTTTCACAGAGTATCACGCCACTTCACGTAAAACGGGTCGTGAAACTCCATTGATGGCATTTTCATAAGTATGAGATAAGAGTCTCATCACACGTGTGTACGGTTGGACTTAGTACTACCGTATACAAACTTTTTAGAAATTATGACTCCATGAAATCTGCCCTCATGGTAGACAGTCATATTCTTGACCGTTAGTCAGATGCAATGACAAATAGTTTTCGCGGCTTTCACACGAAACCGTACTGTGTTTTTTCTCTGAGTAATTTTCCCAGCTGAAAGTTTGACAAGGCTTCAGATATTGTCACGAGTTATCATATACCGAAGTGAAACGGTTATATTCGTGACTGTTAGTCATATATAATGGTGATGATGAGATACACTCAGTTGAGGAAAGCAAGCATATATTCCTCCAACACTGGAGTTTCACCCGTTTTACGTGAAGTGGCGTAAAACTTGGTGAAAAACGCGATTTGCGCGGCCTGTAGTAGTCGTAAAATATGTATTTCACTAGTGTTTCCCATATCACGGGTGAAACTCCACTAATTTGAGCGATGCATAGTTTACACCAATTTCGTGGTAGTTTACACCGGCGTGCCTTCAGATTCCTCGGGTTGAGTGCCACTGGTTTGACTAATGCCTGGGTGGCACTTCGTGATGGTCGAAGAAGGGAATTGGGTGAAGTCATTAAGAAGTAGGTTGTTTTATAAGGAGTGGAGTTTCACCCGTTTTACGTGAAGTGGCGTAAAACTCGGCGAAAAACGCGATATTCTCGGTGATATGTCGTGGTCGTGAAATGTGTTTTTCATATCACTAGGGTGGTGAAACTCCAATGTTTGAAAACTTCGTGGACAACATGAAGACCTTGGCGCTCCTGGACCACGAACTTATGTGTGAACATCAACCACCTCGCAAAAATCATGCATGCAACAGCCTTTTTATATAACGTTTTGCGCTGGTGAGATTTCCGCTCGCCCATATGAACTCCTATGGTTAGTGAGGGAACTCTTCTGAGCTTAGCTGAGGAAAGCGGACATTTATTCCTACTCCAACACTGTATAGGAAACTCTTCTGAGCTCAGCAGCTGAGGAAAGCGATAACATATATTCCTACTCCAACACTGTATAGGAAACTCTTCTGAGCTCAGCTGAGGAAAGCGATAACATATATTCCTACTCCAACACTGTATAGGAAACTCTTCTGAGCTCAGCAGCTGAGGAAAGCGATAACATATATTCCTACTCCAACACTGTATAGGAAACTCTTCTGAGCTCAGCTGAGGAAAGCGGTAACATATATTCCTACTCCAACACTGTATAGGAAACTCTTCTGAGCTCAGCTGAGGAAAGCAAACATATATTCCTACTCCAACACTGTATAGGAAAATCCTGAGCTCAGCTGAGGGAAGCAAACAACCTACTCCAACACTGATAGAGTTATATATCTATCATTATTGTCACGACGTATATAATGAAATATAAAATCATGTCCCACAATACGGTTGTGATAATATTGCAAATATTACTCTGGTGAGGCGACTAGCACTGAGGTTATCCTCTTAGTGTCTCGGGGACAATGCCTCTATACTCGCACTAGAGTAATATTACCACATTGTCACAGTGTGGGAAAATGTGCATAACTGTTCATCAACATGTGTTGGTGATAATACGAAAATTGTGGGAAAATTTTGAGGGGTTCGTACTGAATTTAGTACACTTCTACCCAAGTTCCTATGTAAACTCCTATGGTGAGTTGGGAAGCTCAGCTGAGGAATGCGAACGTATATTTCAACACGCCATTGTTATAGGGTATAGCATCTATAGCTCACGTCAGTGTATATCCTGACACTGGCGAATATCATGATCTTATCGATCAGACTTGAAGGCGATCGATTTGTTGAGGAGGAAAGAAATGCAGCTCTCGTGGCTGAGTTTACGAAGCTACGTGAGACTCCTGAGGAAAGAGCGGCTCCTAGCAAGACTTTGGTGAGCTCGGGATTTGATTTTAAACCTGGAATATCAGGGTTTCATCTGTTTCACGCGGAGGAGCGTTATACTACATGTGAAAAACGCGATATTCGCGATATGAAGTGAATTGAAAAATACTTTACTAATTACACCGGACATATCGCCCTATTTTTCTCAATGGAGTTCCATCCGTTTCACGTGAAGTGGCGTAATACTCAGTGAAAAACGCCATATTTGCGGTGATATGCAGTAGTCGTGAAATGTATTCTTCACTAGTGTTTTTCATATCACTGGGGTGAAACTCCACTGTAGAGGCTCTGATATCTCAGGCGGCGCCAGCTGTACGCCTGAGCAAAAGTCGAGGAAACAACCTCGAAACTGAAAGAGGTGAAGCTCACGAATAATTCGCAAGAGAGTTTCCACGCTACCCAAAAGACCTCAACTCCTATCGTACTCCCTTGTGGAGCGAAATTCAGGAAAACAGGACATTTTTTGGGATTTTTTTCTAATTTTTCTCTCGCAGTGGTACAGTAGTAAGCCGAATTTTTTTATCACTTGAGTGAGCATTGGATCAATGTTGAGCGAGCACGGTTAATTGTTTTCTATCTAGACACGATGGAAATTCCTACTCCCGAGAGCCTCCGAGGTAATCGATCTGTCTGAGTTCAACTAATTGTTGATTCATCAGAGCTGTCCAGTGAAGAATTAACGTGTCTGGAAGAAGCCTGGTCGCATCGGACGGAGGCACGCATGTTCACACAGGAGGCCGACGCTTTAGAAGAAGCGGCGCGAGAAGAACTCGTATGGTTAACGCACTGAGAGC